AGAACCAAGAGCTTGAGCTTTGTAACTTTATAATGAAAATACATGTGCTCTGTTGGTCTCGTAGTCTTGGAGAACTCCTAGTTTTTTGGAAGTAGTCCTTTGGATTTCTACTTTTTCTCCTGGAGCCTCCTGGGCTGGAGTGGGGAGTGTAGCTGGGGCTTCCCCGGGCTGGAGAAACAGGAGTGCTGAAGTGTTCTGATTAAAGAAGTATGTGGACAACTCAGGCTTGTCTACTTGCTTGTAGTTATATCTCCAGATGTAGAGACAGAAGTTTTCTTCTAAAATTTACTCCTGAGGAAAAAAATGAACTTGACCAGCTTTGTCCACCCATTGTGGGTTTGACTGCCCTGTTTCTTTCTGGGCTACAATCATGCTGCCTGTGTTTTCTCCTGGCACTGAAAGCTACAGAAGCCCCTGGGCACCACAGACTCAAGTGGTGCTGCCAAATTAAAGTGCTAATCAAGGTCATCTTCAAAGTTGAAATTCCCACAGTTTTGCAGGTTATTTTTTTTCTTTTGGCAAACCTGGCTAAGGGGCAGTGTTTGTATACATGTGTTTTGGGGTTTGGAGTCCCAAAAATAAAGCTGCATGCTTTCTTCATGGCAAGTCCTGGACCCCTGAAACTGTCCCTGCAGATGATACTGATACTCAAAGGGCAGGAGCAGAGCACTTGGAGCTCCAGATGGTGTGTTTTTCCTGGGCAAAGGGACAAGTGGGCCAAGGAGGCCAAGCTGGCCTCTGTTCTTACCTATCTCAGGAATTATCCATGTAGTAGTTAACTAAAAAAATACATTTGGAAAATTATATTTGCCCATCCTTAGTTGTGGTGACAAAGTTGTGGGTCCCTGCAGTTGTTGCAATGCATGGACATAAAACTGGGCATGTTGAGCTGAAGACATTACTTGTTTTGTTGCTGATTCTGAATTCAGCTTGGAACATCACATCTCTGAAAGCTTTGTGAAGAGCAGCAACAAGGGTCAGGCAATAGCAGGGATCTCTGAAGTTTGAGTGCTCAGAGATCTTCAGATGAAAGTGCATACTTTATTGTTTTCATGTTTAGTTTATTGCCTGTACAAAAGCCAAATAACCTCTGTGAGCTGCATCACTGAATATTTATGTGTTTTCAGACAGACTGGTGCCTTTTTTTGCTGTTTTCTTGCCCTGTTTGTCTTTCGTTTTGCTTTTCTGACCCTCACATTCAAAATCAGCAAGATAAGGAGATTAACACCCTGGCTTAAAGGGCTGATGTGAAAAGCTTTAATATTTGTAAAACATTTGAAAACTGTAAAATATTGTGTGAATACAAACCGGTATCTTCAGTAACAATTATACATAATAATAATAATATCAATACCTATATCTCTGTGCTTTATGGGTTCTTTAGATGTAGATATGTTACTGGCAGACATCAAGGGAAAAAAAAAAAGTCTTCCTGGAGATAATTCCCTGATGGGAAGTGCCATTATGTTGGCTCTCTGAAGGGGTGTCTTTATCTGTTTCAATGGTGTGGTTTGTAATGAGAGCTGCACAGCTGGGGACTCAGTAACCAACTGGATAATCTGAAATTGGTGCCTTTGGGGAGTGTCCCAGTATCTTCAACATCTTATTTCTGCATCAAGATTTGTCTGCAAAGGAATTTGAGAGAAATTCCCTGAAGTGATTTTCTGAGCTGACGTGGGGTATTGCAGCATTCAGTCCTTTTTCCAGACTGAGATTCAGTACATTTTTAGGCAGTGACCACTTCTTTTTGATGCCAAAAATGCACTTGACACTTGTAATTGATGCACTGTTCAGCAGTAGAGCTTTGCTTGTAGAGCTGTGCACTGGATTCCAGGTTATTGGATGGCTTTCCTGTGCCCAGGGCATCCCAGATGCAATCACAATCATTTTCTGTCTGCAGATAAAGTTAATAATTATTACTAAGTTTTCACTATATTTTTACCGGAGAATTTTGATGGTGTTTTCTGTGATGGGATTTTGTTTAATCTTTAGTGCTTTTGTTTGTTGCAGAGATCCGTGCCCAATTGGTAGAGCAGCTGAAATGCCTTGACCAACAGTGTGAGCTTCGGGTCCAGTTACTGCAGGACTTGCAGGATTTCTTCCGCAAGAAGGCAGAGATTGAGATGGATTACTCAAGGAATTTGGAGAAGTTGGCTGAGAGATTCCTGGCTAAAACTAGGAGCACCAAAGACCAGCAATTCAAGTAGAGTATTTGCCTTTTGTTTTTGCCCTTTTTTCCTTGTAGGTGTGGTCACAAGGATAGGGATGGAATGACCTGGTGCAGTGACTGTAGGTACCAGCACTGTTACGAATGTCAGAAGAAAGTGTTTCCTAAGTTTGTGTTGAACACAGAACCCATGTCATGTTTCCACACAGCCTGGTTGCTGGCTTTATTTCAATAATTCCTAGGTCATCTGTTGTCATTAGGGAAGAGAATGTTGAAAATTGGGAAATAGGGAATAGAATTGTTGAAAATAGATGTTGAACATCTAAAAGGAGTAATTTTCTTGGGAAGGTGGGCAAAGCTGCACACCAGGTTTGATGGACAAAGCCAGGATTTCCTTCAGGGTCAGTGGCTTTGGTCTATTTTGGTTTTGTTTGTGGTTTGTTGTTTTTTTTAATAACTGTTTCTAATCTGCTATGTGCTGTGATTTGCCACTACAGCACTCTGTTTTCAGTACCCTGCAGGTACTCAGTGTAGGATTTAAGAGTGTTGTATCTTTTACTGTTGCTTCAAAGCAGTAAAGGAGTAAAGCCAAAAGTACTTCCAAATAGGACTGTGCCATCTGGGGGAGGGAATCCCTGAATGCTAAGCTGATGGGACTCAATTAAAATGTAAGGATGTCCTTATTGACAGTTAGTTGTCTCACCTTCTTGAAACAGTGTTTACAGGTAGGTCTGACCATACTGCTCTGGTTGTTCCCTGCTCAGCTGTTTCAGTTGGGATGAGTAACCGGCAGTGAACATGGTTTGGTGAATTCAAAGCTGATTTACTACTGACTTGTGGCTGAAGGAAGGGACACAGGTGCTTCTCCTAGGACGGGGGATGCAGGAGAGGATGTGTAGGTGAGGAAGGGGCTGGTGCAGGCAGCATGGCATGGAGACATCAGCCCAGTGAGTAGGTGGCCAGCACAAAGCCCTGGCCATGGGGTTCCTGTCACTGACATCTGGGCAGTGCATGAGCTTGTTGGGCTTTGTTGTCAGGGTAGCAGCTGGGGGAAAACACCAAGCAAAAGCAGCCTTGGGATGTGAATCATTTCTGCTTTGGACAGTTTGGTCTGAGAGGATCCATCTGGTTCTGCCTCCACCCAAAGTGCATTGTTTATGTGGGGCCATTATCTGTGTTTTTTTGGTGTGTGTTTTTTTTTCTTATTGTTGCTCTGTTTGGAGGGATATGGGAATATATCCACTAGAAAGGGAAAGCTGCTCTTTTTGGGAAAGCCATTAAGTTCCCTCTTAGTTCAGCTTTGATGTCATTTACTTTAGTTCTGATTGGAAATACACATTGTGAAGTTGTACCTGACTAAACTGACCTCAAATATCCTAGCTATAGAGTGTAGCCTGACTTAGGCAAGTGATTTTATCAGCACAGAAAAATTCCATTTGAATTTTTGAATTAAATATCCATTTTCTGGTCAAGCTCAAAGCATTGCCTGAAATACTCTGAAACCTGTTCCTGAACATCCCCTTCACTTTGCTCTGAGGAGAGAGGGCTGATGTTGCTCAGGCTCCTGGTTTCCATTACTTTAGCAGCAGAGAACTCCTGGCAGAAAAGACATCTTGCTCTTGGAATATATTACCCCTTCAAGCTTGGAGCCTCAGATGTGCAAGTTGTTAATTTGGTCAAGAGTAGGATTAAGGGGGGAAAAAAACAAACTATGAGGTTGCTGGGTCTGTGGGCAGTATTTGTCACAGCAGTGGCACAGGGTTGTAAAGCTGCCTGTCCTGGATATCTCCATCTATTACCTCTTTGGTCATTTCTGTCTGCTGGCTCTAACCTTCAGAAATGTCAAAATTCAGGGATCAGTAAGGAAACAATTCCAATTATAATTACCTATCCCAAACACTGCTCTGTCTGAATAGTGAAGAGTCACTTGGCTGGTGTCTCTTCTATAGGCGCTGAAGCTGTAATCTCATTTGGAAGCCCCCAAAAGACCATTTGATCACAGCCACCCATCAGGTCCCTCCTTCTAAGGAGCCTGGTATTACATGACTCCGAGATGTGCCCAGGCGGGTGGCTGCTCTGTGATTGCCTGGCTGTGACCCTATAAATACACAGTAATAGCACGTTCTTCCCATAACATGATCATTATGTCGGAAGGTACCGTATCATCCCGTGGCTGCTTCCCATATCACTGGCTGTTTTTAGATCTCCTAACACACTGTCATGGTGGAAATCTGTCAGGCAGGAACCCTGTAATTTGCCTGTGCTTTCATGGTCAATATGTAATTGCCAAGTTGCTCCCAATGTGTTCATTTAAGGGAATGCTGTCAAGGGCAGGAGGCTTCAGTCTGACCCTTGGAATTGGACTGTGTGGCTTCCTCCACCTTCTGTCTGCAAGCTGGTAACAGCACACAAGGAGAGAGCAATGTGAAGTGCAGGCTTGTGTGGCTTAGTAACAAATGCATTGCATGGGGTTTATTTTCCTTAGATGTGGCCACATCACAGGGTGACCTGATCAGGTGGATACATTTTCCATATGGGTTCTGAAATGTAAGTAATTGAGTTGTGACAGCAAACTGGGTATAGGCAGTGAGGGATGTAAAGGCTGCTTGCACATGGCATGGTTTGGAGCTTCACTTCATCTTCATCTTCAAATGATTTATTGCTTGCACATGGCATGGTTTGGAGCTTCACTGAAGCATCTTCAAATGATTTACAGAAGTAGGTTTGTGTTATTCTCCTTTTATTTGTTTGGAGAAGGGGAACAGCTTGGTTTAGCCAAGGTGACATAAGACTTGATGACAGTTGGATATATCCCAGGTTTTACTTGCTTTTAGCTACTCTACCATGGCTGTTAGATCTCACTTTGCCTGTTCTCTTCTAAAACACTTTTTTCAATGAGAACAGACTATTAAAGAGAACAGTCTTATACAATGTATATATCTGGTAAGTCTTTTCAGAACCCACTGGTAAATATCCTTGCACAACATGTAAGGACTGGAGGAAAAAAAAAATGCATTTCACAGCCCAGTTGTTGTAACTCCTCTTATTATTACACAAGGTCACAAGTTTGGTATAGTCATCACTCCTTTAAGATCTGCCTAATCAGAGGTCTGTTGTGTGGCAGTGTCAAGGTTTAATGGCAATTAACTGGGAGCATCCAGCTCAGCAGGTTGGGTCTCAAAGTGCTCAAAAGGCATTTGCCTGTTCAAATAATCAATTAACAATATAAAAACCATGGCAAAGCTTGAGTGATTCCTTTCAAGGGAGGAACTGAAAAAGTAAAAAAGAAAAAAAAAAAAGAGAGAGAGAGAAGACAAAGCTATTTTAAGGCCACATTTTAAATCAAGATAATCTCTGGAAGTAGGATACTGAGTAGCAATTGTCAGCTGGAGAGCTGAATGTCCAGGATATCCCAGCATGAAATTCAGATGGCTTTCTGGCAGCCTTTGCCTTGAAGTCAAAGATGCAGAATAAGTCTGGCAACCTTCAGGCTGAGCACTTGTAAACAACAGATGTTCATAACTGGAATCTTTTGGAAGAGAAGAGCAGGGAGCAGCGTGTATGTCCATGCTTGTAATTCTCAAAATGTGCAGTTAACGCTGAGCTGCGTCAGGAGGATCTGAAGGGGAAATTAAACTTGGATTTTTTGAATGAGCAGTTTGCAGAGAAGTTCAACTTCAGTTTTCTTAAAAGTGAAATGATTTCTTTAAAGGAGAGATGAATCAGGCTGTGAGGGAGGTACGGACTAAAGCATTTGGGTCACATGGACTTCAGTTATGTTATTATTAATTGATAAGTATTTTAATAGGCTACTTTGACCTGTGATTCTTTTTGCTGGGGAGCTGAGTCCTGAGCATTTTTTTGCTTCTTTCAGATAATATTTGGGAGATTTTTCTAAGCACAAAACATTCATTTATTCCGTGACCTCATTGAACCCCAAGAGCTGGGGATACATCACCAGCAAAAATTGATGTAAAACCCCAAAGTGGATCTTGGTGGTTGAAGATTTCTGTTCACACAGATGATGTGACTTGTTTGTGATAATTTAAATATTCTCTTCCCAGTTAGTAATATTTTCGTTCTCGTCTGACTTCATCTTGTGCTTCTTATGGAAACCCAATATTCCTATTCCTGGTTTGTTAGTGTGGGTTTGGTTTGGGTTTTTTTTTTTGTGTGTTGTTTTAAATCTAGTATGAGTTGTCTTTTTAAGATAGTTTTTGTGCTGTTGGTCTGAACAGGGTTACCTTGCAGTGCCCAGTTGTCATCCTTGTCACTCTCTTCTGCTTCCCTTAAAGCAGATAGATCTTGGATTGTCTGAGTTCCTTGTATGAATGAGTAATTTAATTAAAACGTCTCAGATACTCAGGACTCAATCTTCCCTTCTGATCTTTTGAGACTGACTGAAACCTTTGAAGTTGCACAGGACTTGATCAAGATAACACCCAAGAAACCACAGAGCTTCATACTTTGTGGTTCCTTCAAAATCTGTGCACAACTTCCTCTTCCTGCTCCCAAACACTCCTGATTGCTGTGATCTGGTGTAATTTAGGCTAACCTAAATAAACTCTTTAGATTCACTATCATCACACGATCTTTAAATGAGTATAAATAGTGCTTGCAATAAACCTGGAACTTGGCATCATCTTCCTCCTGCTCTCCTTGCAGGGCAAGTTGGATTCAGAGTGTTGTTGTGAATGTGGGATTGCCAGCACTTTGGGAAGGTTCACATCCAGGTCTCAAAGTTTTGGGTGGATGTCATAATTTTACCTCTTAATGGCCAATGCTGACTCCAGTCAGTCTGCAGAATCTGGGGAAACTGAGCTCACCCTTCATTATACCCAGTGGTCTCTACTGCATATTTTTCTTCCCATTTTCATCCCTTCACTGTGGTGACATGAAGTTGGAAGTGGAGTATATTTGCCAGCTCCTTTCAGAATTTAAGTGGTTAATGAAAATCACAATTTGCTTCTCTGCCATCTGCTTGTGGTTATGATAGAAAAGGGTCTGTTGTAAACAGTTGTATAACTTCTGCTCTGTGTTGTGAAAACTGTTGCCATGTTCCACCCCAGAAAATACTGCTTTAAACAGTTAATGTATGTGTAGTTTTAAAGGCTACTTGGAAGGTTTGAGGCAAGTAGCTGCCTTCTTTGTTACCTGCATAATTTCTTAAGGCCTGCCTTCATCTGCCCCTGCCAGTGCTAAATACATGGTCACTAGCAAAAAGGGGAGTTTATGTCTTGCTCCCTGTAAAAACCTCGCTGTGAAAACACCGAACCTGTGCAAAAGCAGGAGAGACCATTTTAACAAGGTCCAGAAGGGGTTAGTGAAACCAACAGCCACCAAGAAACTGCAGGATTTTCAAAGACAAATCTTGGAGCGTGCAGAGCTGTGGCTGCTGGAGGTTGAGCTCAGGGTGTGGTGCTCCCTGGGCCGGCCCGAAGGTGACAATCCCGGTCGTGGATTGGGAGCATGTGGGATTGTGATTATTTTTTCCTGCAGGATGGCCTTTCATGTCTAACCACACGGAGTGTGTCAACAACCCATCTGGCGCCATTAGACACCAGCAATTTTACTCGCCATGCTTTTCATGGGCTCCTGGTATTCCTGCTATGTGCTGCCTTAGAATAGCTCTGGGTGCTGTGGTAGGGCAGCCTGGACAGCTGGGGACTGTCCAGTTAACTATTGCATCTCTTCTGGTTCCCATTTGCTGCTGCAGTTTTCCTTGGAAAGCCCGGCACTTGTACCCTGCTGCTCTCTGTCCCTTGCAGGTGTAACTCGTGCTCCTTCTTGCTCACAGCTCTTCCCAGCTGCTCAAGGTGGGTTGGACTGAGTGGGGGCATCCGTGGGCAGCCAGATGCTCCCAGTGGAGTAGATAGCCAAAATTCATAAGGAGAGGGAGAGTGCAGAGGGAGAGAATGAAGCTCAGAACAGCTGAGTGGTTTTGGGTTTGCACTTTGCAGGGATGAGAATGGTACAGAGGCTGGGAAGGTGAGTGAAGGGGCTGCACACCTGGACCTGTGACTGCTCAGAGATCCGAGGCTGCTCTGGTCTTAAGAAAAGAGTGAGGCAGCAAAGTGCTCCTAAGGGTTTTGAGACAGGATTTAAAACAGCTAGAACAAGATCAGCTGGTGAAGAGTCTGAGTTTTCTGTTTCTAAGTTTCATTTCCAAACATTTTACAGTACTTGGTTCATTCTCACTTGTAGCTTTGGACGGCAAATACTAAATCAGTGTGTAAAGTATTTTTATACCATTGGTGTAGAGAAGCTAATCAGTCATGTCATAACATCTCTTAATACTGTAAACTCCTCTTTATAGCCATCCACAGCACTTTCTTAGTTTGTTCCTGCCTTCTACCTGATGAACCACAGTTTGTTTGGTAGTGATGGTTTGAACACCTCCCACCCAGCACTGCTCTTTGTAGTGAACTCCTTTTCCCCTCCTGCCCTCTTCTTCCAACCCTTACTACATGTGTTGCAGTCTTCTGTGGTGGAAGCTTTTATCTCCCTTCCAACAGGAGTCTGAGCTTACAGCTCCTCACCTGCACGTGTGCTCATCGAGGCTGGTCAGTACCTGTAGATTCACAATTAAGTCTATTAGCTGAGCCTTGTAGTCACTATTTAGATCTCTGGCATATTAACAAAACAAACAGTGTGCCACAAACACTGACTGCAGATGGGAGCAGCTATTTGATTTATATAGCTCAACATCTGGCAGTTTCAACCTTGTGCAGTTCTGCATTTTGATCATTCCATCTGGTTTTGTGCATGTCAGCAGTATCTGCAGTACAGAGCACTGGAATATGAAGACAAATATTGTCTCTATATAAAATCTGTGCCTTTTCACATTTTATTTTCTTGGGTCTTTTACTTAAAAACGAGGAGAACCAAAAGCCCAGAATCCTTTATATACTCCCTCCCACTGTACACACACATATGCTTCAAACCTTGAAGCAGGCCAGGTCACAAGCTGCAGTCATTTCCTGAGCTTTTGCATTCTTTTAAAGGAAAAGAAATAAAACATCAAGATCAGCTGTTGTGAAACTATTCTTCTTTATCTAAAACTATCCACATTGCACTACAGATCTAGATGCTGATGTCATGAGAAGGGTAATGAAACTGCTATGGCTTAATTTTCATGTTTTCACGTTGTCAGACATTTCTGGCAGCAGTGATTGCTGTCCCTTTAAGTGCAGAATATTTCCTTTTTCAATATAAATGAAGTGAAATTTCTTTTAAGAGAGAAGAAATCTGATACAGTTGCATACAATAATCAAGAGCTTTGGCTTTCCAGGAGAGATATCTAACTTCCTATTTTCTAAATAAATATTATTGTGCTACAAACAACTGATAAACAGATCTAGAGAGAAGTAAATGGTGAAGAGTGCACCTAGATCTGCCAGTTCCAAGCTGCAGGGCTGCTGGGGCTCCATGCAAGTCACTGCTGATGTCCCTGCTTTCATCTGCTATAAAATGGTGCCTTAAGAAATGACTTCCTCCTTTCAGGAGATGAAACGTTGATCCAGATAAAGGGAGGTTCCTCTCGTCTCCCCTTTTGCCCTTTGTGTTGCTTCTTTTCAGGGTGCAGAGTAAATCAGCTGTAATAAGGTGGAGATAGTTCAAAGATGAGAAAATAGCTTGTTATATGAATGTTGCTTTTTCTTTTGCTCAGGACAGATACATGTACTTGCCCATAATTGTTTTTGTATGCGAGATGTAACATTTTGTTTCCTATGCAGATCCTCCTGAGCTTACTGGATGCTTGCAATCTTTTTATTGTGATTAAGTCACAAATGCCTGAGACAGCTCTGTGAAACCTATTGTCAGAGTCTGGAGCAGTGGCTCTCCCTCAGGCACTGAAATTTATGCACAAATTCTTGGATTCAAAAGGAAAAATTAGAGCCTACATTTGGCTTACTGTAGCTTGCATTTGCCTGATGTGTTTGTTGGGGAACAAAAGCCCACGGGGATGTGAATGTGGTTGTGTGAGGGTGTATTTTCTGCATGTGCCGGAACAAAAGCCCACGGGGATGTGAATGTGGTCGTGTAATTGAGGGTGTATTTTCTGCATGTGCAACAGCCATTTGAGAGCCTTTCTGTGCTCCTCTCTGGGGTTCCTGGCATTTGTGCCACATCATGAACAGGATCATTTGGGCCATTTCTGGTAGTCCCATCCAATTTCTGTTTCTGTTTTGTGTCCTCTCTAG